AACTCTTCTACAGTCTTTTTAGAGCTTGTTAGTGTATGCTGATAAGCATACAAGATGCTATAAGCTAACCGCCAACAGAAAGGGTAAGTTTTCAAGTTAAACTCCTTGACAGACTTCTGAGCCCAAACGTTTAACTAGTATGCATATTTACCTTCAAAAAATCCAAACTGTGAAAATGCAGTTTATTTAGCTGGCATTTTAGGTCATCTAAATTACCTAAACGAGAACATGAAATTTAGTAAGCTGACTTTACCCACCAAAATATGAAAAATTTATGAAAATTACAAATAGAAAGGCAAAGTTTCTTCAGATTTTCAAGGAATATCCACACAAAGAAATATCATCTGAATTGTTATTAAATTGCATTATAGCTCTGAAACATAACACGAGCTAATGATACTGTCTGATAAGTGAGATAAGTCACAATCATCATCGACTGGTTACGCAATCTTTACTTTATGTTCCCAGAATATTGCAAAATCAGCTTCAAGGGCCAAAATGTAACTGCCACAAAACTTCGAAATGACCGAACATTGCACTGCACATGTGTATTACTTAGAACTGGTGTTTCTGTACATTTGTTTAACTCTTTCACATGGAAGTCGCCCCAAACGACCGAGTATTCAAACAACGGCAGGTCGCCCCGAACGTCTGAATAGTTTCCTACCTAGTGCTTTCCTCCATCACATTGCTGCATTGCTTTCAGGAGTTATTAAATGACCTGTCAATCATTATTTTCAAGCGACTAAAAGTAGTTGTGTTATTTTAATGCTTTTCTTTTCCCTTTGTTTACTGTCAATGTTTAACTATTGATGCCCGAAGTTGCAATCCCGTCCCAAGGGGAAATTTCATAAAGCGTCCAAGAAAGTTGTCGCTTTACTTAAGTAGGTTATTGTTAGCGCTGTAGTATTCAATTTGTAATGGGAGAAAGAAATGCATTCCAACAGAAATTCGTATACAAGGGCGTTTTCGATGTTTGAGGAAAAGAGATTTGGTCCTCTCTCGACGCGAAAGAGTTAATTTCTTATGATTTCATGAATGAATGAATGACAAGTTTTTATTTTTTTCACTCTATTTTATACTGAATATTTATTTTTTAAATATTTCGTGTAATTTGAAATATTTTTAGTACTTTATTATATTTTAAAATCAGATTTTTGCCTGCAGTATTGCAAATATCATGTACATCTGAGTTAACAAGATGAATGTACAGTATTAAGCTAATTATGGCAATACACTGGGATACACGTTATGCTTAAGCCTTTCTTCAGCGTTGAAAAGGGTTCGCGCTTTATTGTAGCAGATGAGATGCTAGCTTCAGTTATAACTTCAAATGCACTCATACCTTTTGATAGTTCTTAGTAGTCAAGTTGCATATATATAGGGACTTAACTGGCTTTCCCGCTCACGGATAGCATTTATCGATCACTCACACTACTCCTCGATGTTCGATCTATTCGTTAGTCTGCTTATCGCGTCGAATATGAATGCGCTGCTACTAGTATATTGAAAATGTCGTTATTTCCTACTAATACATTAAAATGCTGATGCATTCCTCAGTACGTTTAATTGCTCTTTTTGAAACAACAATTAATTATTAACGGGGGCCAAAGAAAGGAATTTGTTACAAAGGAAGTACACCACCTTTTTATTTTTATTTTATTTTTTTAAATTTTATTTATTTATTTTTTTTGTCAAATATTAAGGATGAATGGATAAATCTCTAGTTGAAGATTTAGCTTTTCCGCACTAAAATAGGAGCTGCACAACTTTCTCTCACATAGCTTTGTGACGGAACACAGTATGCTATTTTGGAGAAGTAGGGGACAAAATTCGGAAACGGAGCTTTTAAACCTCATATTTACAAAAGTAAAGTGGAATATGCATTCAAATTTTTACAAAAATAAAGTGGAATATACATTCAAATTTATGAATAAAAGATCTCACGAAAACTTGGTATCTCTTCGAGGATCTACAAGGATATTTCCATACCCTATTCCTTACAGAATATACTGCAATACAGTGAAAATTTTAATTCTATATCACTTTTGATGCCTATTTCAGGTTTTAATTTTGACAAAAGCGCATAAAGCATGGAGATGCTTTTGTTGCATTAAGTACTTTAATGCTCTTAAATTATGTATAAATTATTTTGAATAGTAATTGAGTAACGGTTTAGGTTAAAATTATGTTGTAAACAAAAAACAAACAAAAAAAATCGTATAATACAGACGAAATTTTTAAAAGGCATAAAATAACTGCATAGAAACGGGGAAGTTTCTGAATAAAAATGTGAAAAAATGCCCATTGACTGCCTAATTGACGAAAACAAAATAAAAATGGAATTCTTTTGACACTTATGAAGGTTTCGTTGTTAGATATTTCCTAAATTTCTAAGCATTTTCCTGTGTTCTGCATTCATTAGATTACCAAGTTCAGATGCTATTAATTAATAGAAAGTAATTTTTAACTAAGATATAGGTAGCTATAAAATTCTACGAATAAAAGTGCACCTAAAAATCCAGCAAAATATATTTTCTTAAATGCATCCCTTCGATACTTAATGAACAGTGTTTACTGTGTAGAGACATTAGGATTATTTAGAAGCAGACACGATGAAAAATTAGCAAACGCCTTTGCTGGGAAGCAATCGCCTAGGGAATTTCTGCCATGAAAAAAGGCTTTGTAGGATATCTTTTTGTGGAAGGGAGGGGTTCTACGCGATATTTTTTTGATGGCGACAATGGATTAAAAAGGGAAATCTTAGAAAATTAATTTTAATTTGAAAAAGAAGTAAAAATGTCTGATGCAACTGAGCTTGTTAAATATGGAGGTAGTATTTCAATTAGTGAAGACTTCACTAATTCATCTAAACAAGTCAAAACAGATCTTTTCTAAGCACTAATGTGTGGGCAAGCGCATTAACATAAAGATACATCAAGAGCTATTTTCTTCTAGTAGTTGATCTTTCCTTCCTCGCTATTTCATGTAAATATTTCATCCCCACCAGGTAGAATTCCTTGTTAACTGGAGGTAAATTACTTCCCAATTCTGATTTCTTCCCTTCGGGAAGAAATTAGAATCGAAAGGGGGAAAGGCATGAGTAAAACCTTCTCAATCAACTGAATTTGCTCTGCCTTTTTGAATTGGCCTTTGCCAAATGTTGTTTTCATATCTAATGTACACTCTATAAAAAAAAAAAAAAAAAAAAATCGACGTATCAAGAAGGAATTGTCCGATGGAGACAAAAATTGGTGGATGGGAAGATTATGCACAGAATAGAAAATAATTAAGATTTCAGAACAATTGAATGATTTATTTCAGAGTTACATAGTTTCAAAGTAAGGAGCTCAATAAGATGTTGACCTATCTCTAGACTGGATGCAAGCTGCCACACGGTATGGCATATACTGATAAAGCTCCCGGATGTTCTCCTGTGGTATTTCTTACCAAATTTGCTCCAATTATCGGGCTAGGTCATCAACATACCCTGGCAAATGCAGTCGACTTCCTATCATATTCCAGACATGTTGGATGGGAAAGAGGTCTGGCTGGCCAAGGAAGTGTTTGACAAACTGTAAGACAGTTCATAACAACATGTGCCGTATGTCGTCTGGCATTACTGCAAAACGAACAGTAGCAAACAGGTCTCAGAATGTCTCGTCGACGTACCGCTGTGCTGTATGTGTGTCTCTAATGATGACCAAAGGAGTCTGAAGGGAAATAGCAGCCCAGATCATAACTCCTGGTTGAGGCCTTGTGTGACGTGCAACAATAGTGAAAGCAGGATGCACGCTGCTTTGTGTGTCTCTAGACACGCAGAGCAGTCTTCGATGATCGCCACGACACAGTTGGAAGCGGGATTCATCGCTAAAGACTATAAGTTTTCTGTTAGCATCATTCCAATCTGATCGAGCCAAGCACCATAGTAATCTGGCTCGATAGTGTGCAGGCGTGAGTGGCAGGTGGCATAACCGTTGGTACGAGCATAGATTTCGCTTTGTCAGCCGTCTGTGAATGGTCATGGCCGACATTCGTGTGTGTGTCGCACGTCTGATGGTTGATAGTTATGAATCAGGCGCTGTAACAGCTGATCTAACAATCACTCTGTCCTCCCGATCTGTTTGGCCCTAGGTCGACTGTTACAATCATGACGCTGAAATCTACCATTGTCCACCTATTCTTGCCAGCATCTTCTCATCGCCGCATAGCTTCGACTCATATGACGAGGGATTCTCCAATTTGCCCAACCTGCCTCTTTCAATCCAATGATACGACCTCTTTCATACTCTGATAGTAGCTCGTAATGAGATCGAATCCTGCAGCGAGGCATTTTTTTCAGACGTTGAAAGGTATCCTAAATCGCAATGCAACAGAAATTATTAACAACAGTTCAAGAACAACTCCTTATATACATCTGCTGGATGCGCAGTCCTGAGGCGTTGGATATATCACTATTCATTCATTGGACACCACATTTTAATCATTTGCGTATTTGGTTAAAACATTTATGCATACGAAATTTCAAAGCAACCGGATGATTCCTTCTTGGTACGTCGATTTTTTTTGTTTTTGTTTTATTATAGAGTGTATTTTCATAAAATGTTTTATTTTTTATTTCACACAAAATGTCATACAAATACGAACGCACCCGACTTTGTCATTTAGCCAAGGAAGAAAAACAACATATGTAAAAATTTTAGAAAGGAACTTAACAACAGATAAAGCTAGAAAAAATTGCTTTTGCAAGATCAGATTTATTGTTAGGACTGTGCAAGATGCATTCATATTCAGTAATTTGGTGGCGAGTAATATAAAAGGCTCTCGAGCTCTTCAGACAGGTCTTGAACATAGAGGAATGATTCTGTATGTGTGTATTTAAGGTAAGGCATCATTTAAGGTAAAACAACATTAAAAGTTGGGCAACATTTGATAATTGATATAAATTTTGAAAACCAATTTACTAAAAATTAAAATATAAATTAATAAAATAAACAAACCTCTTGCATTTTATTACAACTCATAGTAGCACTTTCCAGGAGCGGAATGCAAAGCGTCCATTTTTTGTTAAATGAAGCCTGAAAGGAAAATTAATAGACATATTACTTCAATTATAGTTGAAAAAATTTAATTTTTATTCGCCTCTTTCAAAATGTCTGAAAAGCTGGCGATATATAGACAAATAAAATAAAATATGTTAAAAAAGTAAATAAATAAACTAGTAAAAAGGTAGCATAGTTAAGCAGAAACGTGTTAAAGCGCATACCGTTGCACTGCTGATGTTGCAAAACTATGCAGGTTGTGTTGCTGTTTTTCCTTCAAATAATGTAGAAGAGTTATGAACGTCCTTTGATGTCAAAAACAAAATAGTTCATCACCGAAAAAGTAGATATTAAACTGGAACGTTGGGGAAGAATAAAATTTATAAAAATAAATAGATGAGAGCGGAGCTGAAAGAAATTGAGAGAGGAAGAAATGTTGAAAAATGGTTGCAAAGGTAAAGGGTTCCTATCATAAGGTTCAGGAGAAAAAAGGCTCTGAAGTATATAAGGAATTAACCCAAAAAGACTGTAGCCTGTCAGACATCTTATTTTTAACTCCCCATCTTTCTTATTTCCTTTTTTTTTAACTGTTAATTTTCCGCTGCATATTTAAAATATTTTCGAAACAATAGAAGTGTTATCTACTGAGAATTTTATTGTCGCATTTCTCATAACGAGTTCCTTTAAAATAAATAGCTACATATTACATTATTATTGATAAATACTTGTTCTCGTGATGGATAAATAATCCATATTCGCTTCTAATTATTATATTATTTTCATCGTTTCCCAGTTCATTGGAAATTTCAGTACTTAATATTACTTACAAATGAAACGAGCTATTTATAAATGTAAATCAGAGATTCTCCTTATTTGATTTCCTTGATTTGTATTTGAAGAATTACAAATAGTAACTCTGTAGAGTCATTAGGTTTTTTCTTGGGGGGGGGGAGACGTAAAATATCAGTAATGCCCGGGACCTCTCGAATACGATCTGAGTGTGCTACAGTTGCACTACGAAAGCATGCTGGAAGGGAGAGAAAATACCTCATAAATTTAATCTCAAATTTCTATCATAGTGTAATTTTTTTTATATTCGTTTGAAACATTTATGCGGTCTAAATATAAAAAATTCATCAACATCACGTTCCTTTTAACCGCAAATCTTTAATGGAGACATGTAGGCAAAAGTTATTTATTTATTTATTTTTTGCAGAAAAATTTGTAACATACATATATATGTACGTCTATATACACACAGCGTAAAAAATAAAACTGTATACACAGCGAAAAAAAGAAAACTACATGTAATACGTTCAGGAAAAACTGGTATCTAAACTACGAGATGAAATAAATTAGCACTGATAACTCTAAACTAACGATAATATACCATAATTTTTTGGAAAACAAAGCTTCCTTGACTTTTAGAATACATTTTTAAGAAATAAAAGTGTAGGTAAATGCTTGTTGAGGGCATGGTTCTGAATAGAATTAATTCCTTTCGGATTAGAATGAAAGGTAATGGATGCATTGCATTTTCTTTCGATACTCAGCACTGGATTATCTAACAGTTCTTGGAGTAAGAGATCCCATTTTTGAACAAACATCTTTTTCAGTTATCTGGTATTTCTCGGAGGGTAGGATCGTGCCTCCAGTCGTCTCCCTTATTAAACGGAATATGTTACATAATATAGAAATAGGAAAAACAATTATATACTATTACGTATTTGTTTTCAGGCATACAAGTTACCAGTACAGTAGATACAGAGAAAATTCAGTCGATCAACTAGATATGGCTATTATATTGCATAGTTATACAATTTATACGTACAGTAATTTCCAGAGTCATTTACTTAGTATTTAAACTGTATAATTATTCTATAAGGTATATCTCCCGCCTTCTTAGCATGCCTTCGCGGTGTAGTGGTCAGCACGCTCGACGCGTATTCGAGATGTAGATAGTCCCAGTCCTGACGAGAGCATTGCACATTTTTCATCTCTTCTGCTTCAAATGTACCAAATGTCTCTACATAGTAATTAAACTCTTTTCTCTTATTCTGCAATTTCTTTATTAAAATACCTTATCTTACTATATTTCAGAACAAATATATTATTTATGTTATTTATAGGGTATTTTAACAAATAAAATTTATTTATCTCTCTTTATATACAGCTACATATCTATCTTTCTATCGTTTGTTCTATCTACTTTACTTTAAATTATATCTATCTATAGATATAGATATAGATATACAGAGTGAGCGAGAGAGAGAAAGAAAGAAACGTATAGATACTGATATAGATATAGATGTACTATACTAGTGGACAAAACTTAAACAAATTTTCTGACTTTGACAGTAAGAGCAAACAATCTACTGGGAGACATGAATTTCATACTGCAGCGGCACGATGTAGCACTTAAAAGGATGAGAAAAGTGTCGCAGTAAAAAAAAAAAAAAAAAAAAAAAAAAGGAATAGGATTATACAGTGCGGAACGAATAGATAAAAGCTTTATTGAAAGAATAGCACTGGTACAAAAAACTGTCTGGTCAAGAGGAACATCAAAGAACCAAAGAGACTTGCTAAGACCTCTCCTAACTTCAATGGTTGCATTGCATTTTCTCTCGATACTCAACACTGGATTATCTAACAGTTCTTGGAGTAAGAGATCCAATTTTTGAACAAACATCTGTTTCAGTTATCTGGTATTTCTCGGAGGGTAGGATCGTCCCGCCAGTCGTCTCCCTAAAGTATCCTAGTCGTGTTCAATGCGATTTAAATCAGAGAAGAAAGCTGGTCAATCCTTCCTACTATCTTCACTTTCCAGGAGCTTCTCAACAACATGAGTTTTGTGTAGCCGTGCATTGTCATAATATTGTCATCCATAAAAGCAAAGTTGGGACCAGTGGCACCCAGAAACGTCGCACGCGGGGAAGGATAACTTCAGCACAGTAACGATCTTTGGTAAATGAACCTCTGTCGAAAATGTCTGTTCATCATAATTCCTCTCTATACAAGCACTCCAGGACCACTCAGTGGTCTTTTTCCCTGGTGTTAGTAGGATGAAAGCCTAACCCTACCTCTCTCGATATCAGGTGGCACCAAGAATCGTTTGACAGACTGAAATGACTGTCATTGGTAAAGGAGACATGACCCTGTTTATGAAGTGTACAATAATTGTGCTCTCTATGCCACTGTAAATGGTACCGCCGTTGGGTTGCAGTCAATGGATAGCGTTAAAGATGGCGGGACAATAGGCCACATTTATAAAGTCGCCTGGCCACAGAAAATCGGGATGTCCTCCGGTTGATGGGCGCAACTGCTTAGCAGTGTTAGCTGCTGTCTAGTTTCTATCTCTCTTCACCTGAAGGGAGATACATTGATCATCTCTAATCGTTGTTTTCCTTGGAGACCACGACCAACCTTTCTTACAGCTGTACCTATCGTTTGAAGATTTTCTGAGCTCGTGAAACAACACTGTAGAAACATTAGATTATTTCGAAGCCGGATACAGGAAAACTGAGCAATGCCCTCCCCAGCACTCGAACCAAAGGCCTCTCGAATAGCTGACCACTAAACCACGAAGGCATACTAAGAAGGCGAGAAAAATACCTTATATACTCCTTTTTTTAAAGGGCAACTAGGGTTTAGCGGACGCAATCGCCAAATCCTGGTGGTGAAGAATCATCATTGACCACCTTTTAGTTCGAGAGCTACTGAAGAAACATTAGGTTATTGCGAAGCCGGAGAGTTAAAAAATGCTCAACGCCTTCGCCGGGACCCGAACCACGATCCTCTCGAATACGCGCCGAGCGTGCTGATCCCTACACTACGAAGGCATCCTAAGAAGGCGGAAGTAATACCTTATACACTTTTAACTGTACCGAACTTTTCGGCAAGAGACATCAAATTACGCAAATTCTCGAGCTTGCCAGTGATTCTACTAAATGTAAAAGCGTCTTGATCTTTTCTTGTAGCCATACTGCACGTAAAATCTTTCAGTTGCAGAGAATTGCTTGGAAATTCTCTGCAATTAAAATATTCTCTGCAACTGAACTATTTAACAAGAGAAACTTTGTAAGATTCCATGCATAAATTCATGTTCTTTTCCTTAAAAGGAAGAAAATAATACTGCAGAGTAAAAATAAAAGAATACCATAGTAGAAGTAAATTAATACTGGACAATAAAAATAGAAGCAAAAATAATTAAAAAAATAGATAAGAAATTAAAAAGGGAGTTAAGCAAAACGAAGGGTTACATTTTTTGCAACGTCTTCTTCAGAGGATACCACTAGAAGTGCAAGAGATAGCCATTTCTGATATATTTAACGAACACTTTATTAAAGACGAAAGAAAGTTTTAAATAATAAATAAATAAGTACGTAAATTAAATGAAATTAAATTGCCTATAAACTCACCTGAAACCATGAAATACTGTAGAATACTATGTACGAAATTTGTTGTTTATGTATTAACATTTCTGGTAGAACAATGAGATTAATCAAAATTATGAAACACGCAGTTTAAGTCTAAGTAACCAAAAATCATTTGATGAAAACTGTCAAGTTATAAAATGTTTGAGATTAAATATCTAATGAAAGACAAATAATTGGAAAAAGAAAATGGGATTGGGTTAACAGTTTTTTAATTTTTAAACCCCTTAGGAAACTTGTAAGCAAATTAGGCTAACCTGATATATATGTATCAAATGTTGAATGATCTAAAATTCGTATCTAAAATTAGTTCGAAAACACAATTTTCGAAATTAAATTTAAAAACGCAATTTTTAAAACACAATTTTCGAAATTAAACTTCCTACGTATGGGTTCCCTCTTTTTTTATACTTCTACTAAATTTATATTAGGAGATAATATAATCAATATTTCTTTAGTAAATATATGTATATATATGAGGCCAGATAATGAGAATGCTTTATACATATATAAAAGTGTGGCGTACGAGCAAGAGAAAATATTCGAGAAATTCATGAAGTGAGAAAAAATTAAATTTTTGTCCTTACATCTTATGTTTTATGC